AGAGCAGAGTTTGCGTATACGTTTCTCGTTAGAGAATAGGGCCCCAGTCATCTTTACAGTTTATATATGTATACATATATATATATATATATAGATACTGTAAATTCAATCGGGGAACAATGCCATGTTTTTCTACTCCCCTAAGTAATCCAGATAACAAAGTTCCTCTCAATCTGGCCTATCATCGCACCAATATCCGTCGGTTACGTCTCGCAGTCTTGTCCCGATATCTTCGGTGCTTCTTCGTAGTTGATCCGATTATGATACTGGCCGCTGTGAAAGGGTTATATTGCGAATAAGCGAGCGCGGTTAGACTTTCTTGTACAGAGCTAGTTTACGTTGTATGCGGCGTTGTATGCAATCGCTCTCTGAAGTTAATTAACGAAGAAACTTTTCTTGTCAATTCTTTTTTATTTTTTTTGCCCCGTAGCATTGTTATACCCTCAACAGTTTTTCGTTCAACAATCCACACTCGTTCTTAGACGAATCATACACTGCTTTCTAATTTTACGTACATTCCTGACAAACTTATACCCTAACTGACAGATAGTAATTCTATTTCATAATGCTATTAAATTGAAGTTTAATGCAAAAGATAAATAATGTAAAATATACGTCTCTCTTTGTTTAAAAAGAACACGGTATCAAGAAAATCAAGGTTGTGTAGCGTATCGGACGTGCGAGCGGAGATGTTCTTCTTTTTTTCTGAAAAATTCCGTCTCTTAACCCTAGGTTTAGACCCGCCCGCGTTTCTTCGGGAGTTACCATTGCACTGGTAATTTCGAGTCGCCGCGCGATCCGAAATGACATCGCCGTGTCGTGAAACAGCCGTCTTTAAGCTACAACCACCGGGCTAATGTGGCAGATACCTCCCACAGAGCGAAATTAAGGTAAATCGTGTGCGGGCCCTCGCTGCCATACGACACTGTTCCACCGGGAAAATCGATATGCAAATCTACGCGCAAATCCTAGTAATCTCGCTCACCCGTCTTGCAGCCCTTGCAACGGCTCAACGGGTGGATGGCGTACACCCGTCGACACCCTCGTCCCCCTTCGCACCTCTTATCCACCCAATTTCTTTTTCTCTGTTCCTTCTTCTTTCCCTCTCTCCCTCTCGGTTCTCATAGTTTCTCTCTATCATTCTATCTGCGACGCTCATTTCAGCAGCGAGAACACGTTCTTTCCCACTCGGTGTGCTCCCGTTGCGCGGTAAGGCTGCGACAGGGAGCTGACGGGGGTAAGATGGGTGAGAGGTTATAAAACGGGGTTAGCCCGGGTCTGAAGGATCGTGCTCGTTGGCCACCTTCGACGACAGGGCTTTATCGAGGTGAAAAAGGTTGCTCGACATCGACCTCCCGCCGCCATGAAGTGAGCAACCATCCCACAAGCCCGCCCCAGCACCACCCTCCTGTTTTTTCCCTCCTGCGCCCCTGTCATCGAGGCGTTTTCGCGGATGTCTTCGCGTAGGTTTTTTCCACGCAGCTAGATGGGAAAAACGATCCGAGTGCTCTCACGCGACGACGAATCATTATTGCGCGGTTTACTATCATACTTCTTATATGTGAGCCTCGTAATTTTGAGCCGGATATCGATGCCAATAAAATGTTTTATGTCGCTTGGCTCCCCCAATGGATGACGCTAACATCGAACAAGTGTCGTTTTGCACTATTTTTTATGTAAATACGATGTAACATCAACGAATCTGTTCTATTAATAAGCACTTGATTCATTAACTGCAATGAGCTATATTTCTTTCTATATTAAATCGAAGCAAAATTTTGTGAAATTTTGATTATATTATAAAGCAAATTAATTAGTGAACTTGACGGATATGTCCCATATTATTTTTAGATTAAAATAAAATCTTTTTTCCAATGTATGTCAACACAACATATATCTAGATTGATTTAATTTCAATTCTGCTGGTGAATACTTAATTACTGAAATATATAGGTTCGTTCCATGCTATAAAGTTGAGTGCAAAATAAGAAAAGATTTTTGGTTAGAGCCATATCCCGTCTGGACGAATAACGTTTTGTTTTCCGCACTGGTTTATTTATGTGAGACGGGATAAAAGAAAATGTACGTCTCGGGTAGCTTGTATTTGTAGGAGGTCAGGGCGAAAGGAAGGAAGACAATCAATCTTGATCCCAATTATCGCGTCGCTCAGCGACTGTAATTGAGTCGGTCTCGAGCCTCCGACCACCTCCATCCACGGCGTTTCTTTTGTAATGCCGGAAGACTGAAACAATGAAGGCACAGAAGTTTCTCCGTTGCGCTCGTACGAGTCGACTGGCAGCATTTTTTGGCTTTACCACACTTGCTCGTTTCGCGCCGATGAGTTATCAAGAAAACGAACTGCTGAAGATTATTTACTGCCTCTATATCAATTGGATTTTTTTTCGCGTCTTCTAACCTTCTCAACTTCATATTCTTCCCATTATATAACAAAAAAATGGTATTTGTAGCTTAATTGGAATTATGTGATACAAGTGCAGTATGCTACCAGTTGTATAAACATTATAAATTTATATGAACGAATATTACTGCAATAGCTCAATATCAAGCTTTAGAATAACACAAAAAGTATACTTTTCATAATTTTCATTTAACAATAACCATTTTAATTTAAATATTCTTGCACAAAATATGCGATAATTAAATTAACATATAATGCTGATAATCAGTTTGTTCATATGTTTATTAGCCTTATAAATTAGCTTCAAGAAGACCGTTCAGAAATCGTAATATTTTTTTATACAAATCTTGATTAATTGAAAAAATAATGACGTCGGGGAAATATAATTAAGCTATGTTTGTCTAAGATTGTACAAGATTAGTTTTGAAAGCAGGATTTTGTTGCTACGTGACTCAGAAGTTATTGCGTCGTCTTAGGACGTAATAAGATTAATACCTTCTCCGAATCGGCAACGTGAAAATAAAGCTTCCTTTGTATGCTGCCTTATGTTGGACTATTCATCCAAGCGGATAAGCATGAAATCGAATATTGGGAATTATCTCAGGTTTATACTCTGTGTAGGTATCAGGTTCATACTCGTTTATATTTTCAGAACCAGAGGAATGCCTTCTCCAATATTCTCTACGCGTTGTGAACTTTTAAACAGCGCACGAGCACTAACGTCGTAAATTGTATTTGTTTGTCTGAAATGTCAAATTGCTACTTTTATAGCAATTTTACCTAAGGCATCAGTGCTTATCATGGATTATCAACTCTGAATTAGTAAATTTTTTTGGTAATACACACACACATTATCAGATAATACATTTTTGGTGCTTACTATTGAAATGCTTATTATAAAAAAAATATAATTTTGCTTAATAAATGTTAATAAATGCAGTTGCAATTTTTATTGTGATTAGGTATATATTTTGTGATCTATTTAAATTTACATTTAACTGCATATATCAAAATGTAAAATAAGGGTGATATGATTACATTCAGATGTCAATGTGCGTAATTTAATATCATAATTAAATGTGAATATATATGTTTAAAATTTAAAGAACAGTTATTGCTTGGAACTTGCATTTTGATAGTAAATATTATACGTAACATCTTTCTTGTGAAATGATTGTGAATTGATTTTTAATATACGTAAAATTTATTAGTGAGAAACGCAATTACGTTTGCTAATCTTGATTTTTAAAGAAAATTTTTATTTGGAATAATATAGATCAGCATTAAAATTAAATTTGTGTAAGGCCGAAACAATTCGGTCATTAAAAGATTCGTGAGATATTACATCATTATGTATGAAATTTACGAGGCTATCCGTTTCCGCGGAGATCCTCTAAATATCATTAAAGTTTCATTAAAATTAGAGGGGAGCGTTTCGCACAGCACCCCAGAGAATGCTGTTTCTTATCAGTAGCCTCTTTAAATCAACTTTAATAGTGCCCTGACTAGTTGGCACCATCTAGAATATAGAGCTTAAGCATCCCGAAACTATATTTATGTGCATTATTACGATATTTATTGGCATATTTGATAAATAAAATACTGATTATTATTATTATTATTATTATTATTTATATCAGGACAATTATACAATTAAATGTATGTATATGTATATATTAAAAAACTATTTTTTTCTGAGCTCTTCTCGAAATGCTAAACTTTTTAAAATATTGTGTATCAATTTGTTCGCTCCGAACATTCCATTTATCTTCTTCTTTTTACCTTTTTCGGATTTTTTGAATTTTGAATTATATACTTTTAACGTATCTTTAATGCTAAGTTTGTACAAAAAAATGAAGACTTTTATCTAGCTAGCTTAAAGGATTATTTTGGTTAGTTAATTATATTAAAAATAAAAGCACGATAGACACGTCGAAAACAACTGTTCGTGAAAAGAAACAAATATTATCAACGTCAAAGCCGCCGATACAGATGTCGGCACGCGTTGTATACGTCATGTAGCTTGTGCAAGAGCAAACGCTCGAATCTTGTCTCGTGCAATTAGTCGAGCTTAAACCGCCCCATGTCAACGAGAGGTCGGCTCCCGGGGAGCGCGACGACGGCGACGCGGAGAACGGAGAACGGCGCGGCGCGGCGGCGGTGACGATGGCGAAGACGATGAAGAGGGCGGAGCATTTCCTCTCAATGGGTCGAAACTTTCTCGTGGCGGGTACCTACACATTATTCCTCGAAACTCTCGAATGCTTAATTAGGCGATATTTGAGCGTTCGTCCCGCCGACGCTATACCACCAACACGACCCACTGCTTCCCCCTTGGCCGCCCAAACTGTCGCCAACCCCTCTGTCTCTGACGGAGTTTACGCTCGCAAGGCACTATTACCGAAAGCCACTGGATTTCCGTAAGAAAGCACAGGCGGCTGGCGGTGGCCACCACCCGGTTCTATATAGGCGTTCTATATAGACGTCTTACCTGAACTAATATTGTTAAGGTCTAATTATAGTACCACCGCGACACCAGGCGCGACCTCTCTCTTCGTCCCGTCTACCCTTCCTTCCTTCATTTCCCGCGGGCTTCCGTTTCTCCGCCACGAGTCTCTTTCCGAGACCCGGCTCGGCATTCTCGACGGCATGCTCCTTCCACTTTCTCGCCTCTTCGTGCCACTTCCGTATTCCAGCCTTGCACCCTCAACTTACCTCATAAACCGCGTTACAGTTCGTCTCAACACCCAAATTATGAGAAGGACAGGCCGGGTGAGGAGGAGAGAAAGAGAGATAAGTAAAGTAAACGAGAATTCGATATGAAGAGTAAACGATAGGTTTTCAAATATTAGTCACATTATGAACCATTTATACGCGTTTGTGTTTCTCTTTTAGCTAAATTATAGGTGAAAACTTGTATTATGCGTAATTTTGCTAAAGATAACGTTGCATTCGTTATATATGTAGATATAAGAGTATTATGAATCATGTGGCGTCGCGAAATTATCTGCGTTATTATAATAATATGGTATCATTGGTACGAATATCAGATATCTCATCAATTATTATGTTCGCAATGACATTGAATATCGAGGATTATATTTTGCAACCCCTCATCCAATTTCATTATTAATACATTTATAGTCGATATCGCTTTCAATATTAATTGTTGGGGTAACACTGGAATAATTTTGTGTCGTTTGACGGAAGTGAACTAGGAAGAAATTCAGCAAATAACATGATGTTTAAAATTACTCCTTTATCTAATTTGATTTATGAACCAATATCAATTAAGGATATTGGTTTATAATCAAATAATTTCAAAAATAATTGGATTACAATAATCTTATTAGAAATTAGTGAATTGAATATATGAGATTCATTTTCATCACTCATTTTTATTTTTTGAGCTATTTACTAAGAAGAATTTTCTCTAGTAGTAGCTATGTTCTCTGTGTGTACGATTACAACAATTAATGTTTACTTATTGCAATAGTATTATATATTATCACAAAACGATAGTAGCTTTAACACGGTCTGCATTTTTGTTTCAGGGCCGGTGTAACCGAGAGAAACCACCTTGCAAGTATTTCCATCCCCCACAGCATCTGAAGGACCAACTCTTGATAAACGGGCGCAACCACTTAGCGCTGAAAAACGCGCTGATGCAGCAAATTCAGCAGGGCCTCACGCCGGGTCAGCCTCTCGTGCCCGGACAGGTACCCACAGTGGTATGTCCAACAAATTAACACCATCGTTGCACCACTTCTTCTGCTATCCACACATTCACACACTTTCTTTTACCACGACCGTATAATATATGGATTTTGTCTGTGTTTAGTCGAGGGTTATCACTAGATTATATCTTTTTTGATAAGCAACGCTGCGTAGATTATCGACGGCGTAGTATTTAAGCTTCCTTTTCATATTTACTGTCGTTACTAAGAAATTTGAAGCTATAGATGCTATGAACGTAGTAGCTATGTTTGTGTGTGTATGCGTACGCAATCTCGTATATTACTTTAAATTAAAAACATTTTACAAGCTTTTTCCGGTAAGGCTCGAGTCATATATGTAAGCGTAGCACTTCGCCGTCCATATTTACCTGCGTTCCTTCTTGCGGATATTGCACCGACAGACAAAGTTTTTAAGAATTAAAGTTTAGCACGTCGCATGTTCTTGGTCAGTGTCATCCTTACTTCCTAGAGTAAAACCTGACTTATCCACATATTTTGATAGACAGTCAATTTGTAGAATTGAATCTTTCTGATACGATAGGTAATTCTTAATCTTATTACTTTATATTACGGCCTTTTTTGAAATTATGATGACACTCGTGATTTTTATTTTTATTATTATTTTTACATCACGAATTTTTTAATTATTTTTGAATTACAAGTATCGGTAATTCGAGATATTTAAATATACTTTTGATTCAAGAACTCTTTCGTAAATAACTTCTAAAGGACACGAAACGTAAGTTAAGAGTCCTTGGTGTAGACATGTTAGATTCTCATCGCGAACATTTTTCGTACTGTATTTATCATTCAACGGGAGAGGCTCGTTAATTACGAGAAAAGTACAAACGCGGAACTCCCAAACAATAGCGTTTGAGCGCGGGAAAGTTTCGCCGGTTCTTCAAAATTTCACGCGACATCGCGTGTACGTTGACACGATGCTCGGATAATTTTGATCGACCCGAATAAATCTTCGACGACCGAGGAAACTTCTCCGCGTTTTTTTTTTTTGTTTTTCTGAATCTTCCTGTTCCCGCGTGCGTTTGTATGTACGTACACACGCGAGATTATCACTATTTTGTTTTTAATTAAAGGAATAATAAACTCTCGTTATTAACGTTTGCCCTTCTTGTTTTCTTTTTTTTTTACTCATGATATACATTCATATTCGTTGCTACGTGACATCGAATCCTATACTATGACTGCCTGTCTGTCCCCTATGTTTGCCGCTGTGGCTCACGTGGTTGTGGTTGATTGTTGGTGTGTTCTCCAATTACGTCATTGGTGAACAGGAGGCCCCGGCACCTCCGGCACCACACCATCACCTTCAACAGCAAATCCAGCAGCAACTTCTTGCTACTCACGCCTTTATGGTAACTCTTGGTTTTGGTTGGCTTCCACTAATTTTTAGTTAATTTTAATGCCACGTTGGCTAAAAGTGGATGTAAAAATGCTCGTCATTTACCTATGACTCCAATTTATCATTGGAAGAGACAGTAAATATGTATTTATTTTCAGTTTGCAACATTTTCATGCGAAATAAATTACTTTCATAAGTTTACATCCACTATAGTCATTCAAGCGATGCGCCTGTAATTAGTAAGCGTTCGTACGACAGCTTAAATTTTTATTTTAAAAGCGCGCCGCATAGTAAGTCAATAACTTAATTGCATGCATTTACAAGATGTTTTGTTTGTTTATTGAGGAAAGAAAATTTGTATATGTTTTCGAAAAGTTTTCCTGTAGAAGAGAAGAGCATGAAGTATTACGGCTAATTAAAACATTTTCGCGTTCTTTGGCTCTGAAAACGACGAATATTTCTTCTTTCTCTTGAAAATATTTCATATTTTACGTTTAATATTATAATAGCAAATATTTAAATACGAAAATTGTTAGATTTTTTTTTAATATAATAAGAATGAAACTTATGAGAGTCAAAGAGACGAAGGAAAGGGATGCGAGGCATGGTAATTTCAGAAAATATTATTGATCTTACAATATTTCAATTTAATATTGGTAATGAAATCTTTGTTTCTTAGAATATTTTGAAAAAAATATGACGATGCGCTGATGTCTAAGCGTAAATATTGCTTAGCTAATATTTTCCAACAATTATCTGGCCGCGTTTCCGAAAGCTTTTTTACAACGACGAAAGCTCCCAGGGTACCAGAGGCTTTTGAGAAGAAGGAACGGGTATTCTACTCGTTCGGATGCGCTTGAAATTACCTGCCTTCGCTTCTGGGAGCCAGCTCTCGCTGCAAAACCAAACGCTTCGTGTGGGATCGTACGCTTGTCGTTAAAAGTGAAGGGGAGGGCACGAGAGAAGAGAAAAAGGACGATTAAGGCTTTGCGAGATCCGTAAATGAGACGCCTTTTCTTTGCAGATTCTCGTCTTTGGCACGTTTTTCAGGTTTACCACCTCGTCAAACCCTTTTATATATTATTGTAGAACTTTTTTAAAAGTTTCTTCTCCAAAAATCCGTTTTAATGAATTTATTTACTGAGTTTTGATATCAAAATAATTTTGAGATATAAAATGACAATTACAACTAAAGTATAATTTTAGATATAAGGGTAATTATTCGCGCTAAGTTCATGTGCACTTTACTGAGAGAATTTTATTTGATTTTGTCGTAAACTACAATAATATTTTAAAAACTTGATATTTTTTACTTTTAGGGGAAAAAAGTAAAATTAATTTTAATTTCTAATTCTAATAATAATGTTATTTACAGAAATTGTTCAAGATAAATCGAGACAAAATATATGATTTTTACATCTTATATATCTTCTTATCGTGTTAAAATCTATTGATTAGTCAGATTTGAATTTAATTGTTATTATATTATACATACTTTTGATATAAATTTTTTGTGTATATTATTTGTTCCAAATTTCCAGAATTTTCCGTATAAATATTAAGCAACTCAAGAACGCCGTGTATCAGTTTCTTCTCGGCAATATATTAATATATAATTTTCCTTCATTACACGTTGTTATTACACCAGATATTAACGATATTGCTTATTTATCCGAAATTGAAGCGAGCACGGCGATGGCTCGTAAACCAAGCGATGTATATTGCACGTCTTATGGTTGATAAATATCGGAGAGCGTTGCTCGCAAAGCTTTAATGCACCTTGAAGCAGAATTTACACGGACATTCAGAAATGGTAGATTGCATATACGGATCGAGTATTTGGTAATTGGTGGTACAAACTGGAAAACATTAATTTCTTGTTGAAGAAGTTAAAAACTGCTTATTCTAAAATGATTTGATTAAGAAACTCTTTTTTCGAAAACAGTTACACATTCTTAAATTATTTACAATCAAAATTTGCCATACAGTCAATCGTAATTATTGTCTAAATTGTGAAATAGATGTACATTCATCAACATGTAATATATTATGAAGATAGAGCAGATCCCGATTGCATTCTTGTTAGATGTAATTATTTATTGATTACATTTGATCTTCTCTGATTTATATTTATCTTTCTCTGATTACATGTTTAATGTAATATCTCGCAACATTTATGTGACTTTCAGGAATTTATTGAGAATTGTTGAATTAAAGAAAACAATGCGCTTTTTGTGAAATTATTGTAAATAATTTAAAAATGTGGCTGTATTGCAATTTTCAATCAAATCAACTCGGGAACGATCAACCAACTTGATGTAAAGAGAAATCATGTGTTTTCGGCTTTTATCTACCGTTAACGTTAATACTCAGGTATAAAGCACGCGTTTCAATGGCGTTTCAATCTCGAAATCGCGCGCGTCGCGACGCGCACAAAATCGAAAAAACGCGTGAAGCGAAGGCGGGGGCCAGGTGTGTTCTAATCCGTATTACCTGGATATCTTCCGGGTGTGTTTTCGCAGGCGACGAATCCGTACCTGACCGGTATGCCGCAGGTTGGCAATACGTACAGCCCGTATTTCGCGCCCAGCCCGATAATGCCGGCGATAATGGGCCCGGCGGACCCAACGGGCGTCGGCAGTCCACTCGGCGTGGTGCCGCAGACAGTGGCGATGCCGCAGAAGATGCCACGTACCGACCGCCTCGAGGTATGTCTACCACCAAACTACATTCAACAACAACAACAACAACAACAGCAACAACAACAACAACAGCATGGGGCCCAACACGGCGCAGCCGGGGCCTCAAGGTGCCCGATGGCCGCGCCCAGTACCGTGTACCAAGTGCCGGCCGGTCCCCCCAATCAGGTGTCGCCCGTATCCACGATGCAATCTGTCAATCATCCACCATCCCCTACCACCATTACAACGACGTCCCTGTGCACCCCTCTGCACAACCCCCACGCCCATCATCATCCCATTCACAACCTCATTTACGTTCACGCGTATTACTAGAGAGGCTCCGAGACGTGTAGACTTTTAGACTCGATTCGACACCGAGAGTGTCGATGACGTTTCGAACGTTTCGAATGTTCGACGAGACAGATCGACGCCGCGCCAACGCGTCATTTCTTTTTCGTCCTTTCATTTTTCCTCCCCCTTCTCTCTTTAGGTTTTTCTTCCCTCCCTATTTTTTCTCACATAAGCGTAAAACACGTCGGGTGGATTAATCAGCCGGGGCGTAACGGAACGCCCGTGGTGATTAGAGCGTAACGATGACAACGGATGAAATTGCAGAGGGCACCGAGAATATCCTGATTTCGCAGGCGGGTTATAGACGCGCGCGTTGCTAATTACAGTAATTTACGCCATGCGGATCCATAAGGCGATCTGATTACCCGAGCCGGATGGCTTACGTTCGTCGCGCGACACAGCGATCGATAGTGACGGTAGTACCGGATGGATCCTGGGCTGGAAATCGAAATTTATTTTGAGAGAACACATAACGAACACTATAAGGGCTATAACGGGAGAAACTATATATTTCTATACGCTCACCCTTTTCTCTCAATTAATGTCACGTGTTCGACCGCGAAGAGAGATTATGTATCTTAACGGTAGAGAGATGGTAGCCTCGAGATATTAGCAACTGTAGTCGGTGATTAGCGAACGATACGATTTCAAGGACGGCTCCGCGACCCAAAATCAATCGTAGCAGCGACTGATGGCGATTAATCCCGTGTAGTTGATATTTTGGCGAATAATTTGCAATAGATAAATATAGAGGTCGTACAGTGAATTCTATATGAAAAAACGGAGCAAGCTTGAAAGCGACGAGCAGCGAGAGAAGAGAAATTAAATTGCGAGAGCGACAAAAAATTTTGTGCGATATATTTTGTAGTGCGATACGGTGGCTGGAGATGAAACGATACAATGACGAGCGGTAATATATCGGTATCTAGGTAAGATATGGCGACAAAGCAGATCTAACTTAAGATATCGCGCATAGAGATACAATAGATTCCTACGGATCGTGAGCGACACAAAGGTCTAAAAGTATCGAGAGTATGTAAATTCCTAAGTCAGATAACTATAATGGCAACGATGAAACGTGATGAATAATTATGATTAACTTATATAGACCAGAATATATGGCTGATTGATAGAAGTAGATGGATTTGCAAATGTGCGACTGATTTGAAAACTTAAATTCTCGCGTTACGAGCGTTTTTTTTTAAACTTACCTCGATTTGTATGACTCATGATATTTATACGTTGCTTTATACGAAGCTGATAAATTGTCATGATGATTACATTACTACACATTTTTATTTTGAGAAATCTTTGACCTAATATCTTTTTTAAAAAAACATTTGTACCTATAGTTGGACAAGTTAGAATCTCTTAGTTAATGTGTTTATTAGATTTAAAAAACAGTTACTGATGCTTTTATAGCTTTAATAGCTATTAGTATTTATCTAATTATCCATATGTTACATTTTATGAAAAACTTGTTAAATATTTCTTTTCAGATCATTTTTGTTATATATATATTTTTTATGTATATTTGATTATCAGTTACAAGATAAATCAGAATGATTTGTTGTTATATTAATGATAAAGCCCCTTGCATAATAGGCGATAGCGACAGCGACAAGATTGCCGACAAAGCTATACCTTTGCCAGCAACTTTTTCGCTGTCGCTATCGCCTATTGTGCAAGGGACTTAACATGCGACGATCATCGGCATTTTTAATATACCTATCGTACGAAAAAAACCGAAAATTAGGATGAACGATCATCAAAGTTATTTTTGCCGCGCGTTATCGCTGGTTTTTTCGAGTCATCAAAACGTCGTCACCGAGCGACGCAAATGAAGATGTATTCGTTTTATTTTCTGTATCGGTTCACACCGTTGCAGTCACGATTGCAACGCAATTATTTCTTAGAAGGTTGTTTTGACGATTACATTGAAATTCTGTCACTTCTATCAAATACGCCCGTTTCTTGAATTAATTATTTCCTCTAGAAGATATACATGTTACAAAGATATTTAGGAATAAATGGAGGGGTAAAAGCCATAGTGGTGTCAGTCAAATTTTTTAAAATATTTTGACTCGTGTGCAATAGTTGCAATCTATACAATATAATATATAAATTGCATCTATGCACACGTCAATATCTTAAAAAATTTGACTTACACCACTATGGCTTTTACCTTACCCCTCCAAATATAGGTTGGCGTAGAGTAATATTAATATCGTACTTCTGTAAGTACTTCGGGAAGAACGGCTGAAGCTTTCCTGAATTAGACTGCGATTTGTGCAAAGCGCACTCGGTAGAGATCCGAGGTACGATCGTGCAATATCGTCTCAAGCCTTCGGTACGCGGGCCTCCAGTTGGATAGCGCGAGAGAAGTGTTTCAGAAACAATAACAAGATCGCCCTGTGAAACTTCGCATCCGCATGCACCTGGAGTTTTCTAATGCGCGAGTTCGCAGATTTCCCCGGAGCCGTCATCGCCTCTTTACTCGTTTTTGCCCGACGGCACTCGCGAAATTAACAGGTTTTGCGAGTGAGTTTTCACGGGGCAGTTCTCCTGTGCGCGAGCTCTCTTCAAGACGAGGGGGAACGAGCAAAATCGAAATAGCAACACTAGTTCGGCGCGAAAACTCGCGCTGATTCATTTGCGGGGTGCATCTTGGCGAATTCAACTCGCAAATAATGAACTATACGGAACTATACTTGTCGTAGAGGGTGAATTTAACCCACTCGTTCCCAACATGGTCATACAACGGTCATATTGGGAAGATTTGAATTAAAGAATAAAGTAAATTTATATTTTACATTCCGATAAAAGCTAAACGCTTTTGGGAGAGATGGTAGCTCCGTCACGACTCGATAATCTTGATGCCTAGTATAACCAAATAGCAACGAATTAAAAACTTATAAAGTAAATTCAAAAACTTACGTAAATTATATTATCAAAAATTATTGAGCGCTACGTATAAGGAAGGAAACATTTAAATATCTTTTTCAATATTTAGAGGTAAAATTTGAAAGAGAAAAGGTCACAAACATTAGAACGGCTAAATTCTGTTTACAACAAATAAGTCTGTCTAGATATCAGTTTTGCATACGAAAAAAGAGTTAGAACTGTTTCCCAAATGTTACGCTTTATCCTCTTCTAAAAAGTGTCAATAAAAAAAAGAGCACTTTTTCGAAATGGTATTAAAATGATATATCGGATCATTCTACTGATAATAAAAAATGATTCGAAAAAAGAATGTAATTTAGATAATTATGACACGTCTTAAAAACGTGCTCGATAACATAATAGATTTAGCCATTCTATTGTTAACACCCAGTAGTCGAAGGCAAAACGAAGGATGGCAATTACGGCGCATTGAAATTTAAAGAATTCGCAATTATTTAGAGAAGAGAACATATGAAAGGAAAATCGAGGATACCTACTGTATAGCCGTGTCGATTCAATTTGGTTTGATTTTATTATTTACGTATTTGTATGTCGTGTCTGTGTATGTGATTATTATTCCAATATAATTATCATCACGGCTGTTAGTATTATGTTAATCGGGAGAGTCAACGAAAACGGGAGATCTCGCAGATCTCTTGCGAGCCATTTGCACTTGAGTAACGTGAGCAAAATGTGACTTTTTGCAACGCAGAGCGCTTCGTAGCGTTCGGAAATCTAAATATATGTACGTATGCAGAATTATATACAGATACATGACGCTTACACGCGCCGGTCCATCCATGCATACGCACATAGTGATATATGTGTACATAGTAGGTAGGTTAACAAATTAATTAATTAATTAATTGTATTTTGTATCGCGCAGAAACCGGTAGAGCATAAAATCGAAGGGAAGTGTAACTTCGCTACCCTCATTTGAATTCACTGCAACAGATTCGATCGCGATTCTTTTGTATTGCATTTGAAAAAGACACTATATAACATAATACAATACAATACAATACAATCTAGTGTTCTTCTTTTTTTAAATATATATCGATTATAGGCGATCGATATTACACAAGCTCGACCGACAGTTCTTAAACTAGACGATAGGCGAAAACTAATTTTGCGCTCGTATCAGAATTTCCAGCCTGGGCGAAATACAAAGTATTATTTCGGCGCGAATTAGCAATATGAAAAATCTCGAGATTCTCTTTTTATCAGTTTCATAATTATATACATCGTACCCTTACACCAATCTACCCCTCCTCCTTCCTCGTCTTTCATCTTTCATCATCATAGTGAGAACGATAGCACCCTCTCTATCCCCCCTATTCCGAGATAATATATGATCGATTTCACGTATTTACGATTAAGTAAAGAAAACGTTTACGAAAAAGAGTAAGAATATACACAATGTAATGTCGTTTAATTAAATATTGCAGATAGAAGTCGGAAATATACGATCGATTTATTAACTAATTACGATTGGTCTTACGGTAACACTTATTATAATATTTGGTAACATACAATAACGATGATAATTAGTAATCATAACAATACCTATTTGTGATGTACTACGATGACTTGCACTGAGTTCGGGTCACGTGAAATTTATTGATGATGAATTCAAATAAAAGAAATATAATTGAAACTGGAAACGATGCATAGACTGTTTATTGATTCTTACAAGTTTCACTTAATGACCAAAAAAGTTTGTGTGCTTTGTA